TCATGTATCATTTCAGTCAGTCCAGTCGGGGATACTCAATTTGCAAAGTCCGTATTGAATAGCCAATGTCAGTTCACTTACAATAAATCAGTCCGTATTATCTCTTCTCTCCGTTGAGAAATCAACACTCCTTTCTCTCCTCCGTTCCAGTAAGGAAAAAACGCAGTCATCAATCCATCCAGTAATTAGGGATCATTAAGCCAGAGAGAGAGAGAGCTGCAATTGACTTGCTTCTTTTATGGTGCTTTTACAACCACACCCTTAATTACATTCTTGTAGTTAAAGTTACACACACTTTAACCAACAAACCATGATAACTTATTTATTATTTTTACCCAAACCAGTTAGGGTAAACAATGTTATCCCTAACACATGCCACCATGACTGGATCTCAAACAAGATGGTAAAGCCAAGTCTTCAGTCCCCTCTAAAGGCCAGAAGGGAAGGTAGAAATATTCTTTAAATGTCAGATGGCTGAAAGCAACATCATGGCATTGCAATGCCACCCTTACCCCTTTTCTAGCGCATCACAATATTAGTCTCACACGCACACCAGCGGAGCTGAGTTTGCCATGCAATGCTGGCACCTGGCGTTTGCCGTTCGGACGAGAGCAGACACAGGTGCATCTCTCTTCACCCCATTCAACCTCTTTGTCTAAGGTCATCCACTCTTCCTTCATATATCTGCTTGCAACTGGATCCCCATTGATTCCCCCTCTCTACCACAAGTAATTTCACTTTTGAAATCAGCCCATATTCAGTTATCATTCATACATTCTTCACTGGATCTCTTGTTTTACAGAACTACTCTGGAACTGTTCCATTTCCTCAGTGTGTATGTTTCTCGTGATGTACCAATTCCTACTTCCAGATAACACAGGAAGAAAAGCCTCTGATCTGACTTCCTTTAACAAACCAGGCAATCCTATAAGACATCATAGGAGTCGGTGGTTGGAGTTGTACCACTGTTCCTCTACCAGGACTTGACATCGAAATGTATTCCCTCTTTACCCATCATTCTGTCAAGGTACAGAAATTCATCTATGACTGCATTTTTTGGCCAAGAATATTTATATTGGGAATTTTTCACTTGACTTTCCTTGCCAAACAAAATTACCTCGGTCTGCGATGAATTAATTTTTAGATTGATACTCCTTGTTGTACAGTCTTGCATTTGCTGCAAAAATTGGTTATCAAATGACAACACAGCATCTTTCACACAGAAAAGCATACACAAATTCTTATTCCCAAACAACATACTCCATAACATTTTTCTACCTTTATTTCAATGTTATTTCAATGTATATGAAAAAATATTATTACAAAATCCTAAAGCAACAAAAGAAAGAAATGTGCAAGATTTAAAAATAAATAAATAAATAAATAAATAAATTAGTTTAGTTTAGTTTACTTTACTTTATTGTCATTGCACCTCGTACAACGAAATCAAACACCATCTTCAGTGCACATCATGACCATGACCATGAATTATAAATTACTTTAAATATGCACATAAGCAAACACATTATCTCCTCAGCCTTTGCCTATCAACCAAATCTATCAACCATTCAAAGGAATAGCCATGAGATCACTGTTTTCAGGAGACATAATGCAACACCTAGAATCTATAGGTGTTCTATAAGTATGGATCTGGTATACCTTTGTCATAATAAAAAAGGATCGGGGTGGACTTCCAGTTTGGGTTTCTTCAACGACAGACCAAAATCTGCAATTGTGCGCGGTTTCGATCTGTGCTCGCCGCTGGAGCGCCCCGATCCTTTGGATTCGGGGCTGAAGCCATCCCGTAGAGGTGGTGAAGAGGGGGGAGATTGCTAGCTGAGTGGAGGGGAGCTGCATCTCTCCTCCTTGGCTGGTCTAAACTCCCCTTCCTGAAGGCGGTTGCAGCGGTGGTCAGAAATGGCCACCTCAAAGAAGAACCCAACTGGATTAGATTGTGCAGGAGGAAGACAAAGAGGAAAGCAGGACAGACCGGGTTAAACAACAGAGAACATCTAAGCAAGGTACCCTGAATCTAAAAGTACTTAGAGGGATACTTCTGAAAGAAGATCTTTAAGCGGCGAAGGAGAGAGAAAAGGAGGTTAAAAACCCTTTTTTTACCTTTATATTGACAATTACAAATGGTATGGAAAGAAATGTATATTAATCTATTTTGACACTAATAGGCAACCTTAAGCTGAAATCTAAGTGTCAAAAGGAGAATAAAGATTTTTTTCTTGGTCATTTTAAAGCCCTAAAAAGGAGAAGAGTGGAGGCAAAAGGGTGGGACTTGGAATAATGGAAAAATGGAGTGCCACCTGGAAAAATAAAGAGGATTAACAGTGAAACTTTGAAAAGACTCCCGAGGATACATTGTTTTGGTGATTTAAAAAAAAAGTTTTTGGCATTGGTTCTTTCTTTCTTTTTCTGTTTTTACTTAAAGTCAATCGGGTGGTTGTTCAAAAGTGTTTAAAATGCCATCACTCCTGGAGGAATTGAAGTTGAGTCTTAAAAAACAGAAAGAAGATGCAGAAAGGGAGGAAGATCCTTTGGCTTCGTATTTGAATTTCTTGAAATGGAGATCCTGAACTATGAAAAGCAGAAGGAAAAGCTTCAAGAGCAAGAAGAAGGACGGGACAAAGAAGAAGCCATTTTCAATGATCAAATAATGCAAAGTGTGGTAATAAGGTGAAAAGGGGGGAAAGGAGTTAAAAGTTTGAGATTAAAGGGAACAGCCAAAAAGAAAAATAGTCTGAAAAAGAAGTATAACAGCAAGGAGAAGCAGAAAAGAAAACTACAGAAGGGAAAATTAGAGAGAGAAGGGTATAAAAAAAGGGATGAGAAAAAGGGGGGAAAGATAGAAAGGGAAAGAACTCATGAGGGACAAGAACAGGAAATAAAGAAAAAGGGGAAACGTACTAGGATTAAGGGTATTTGCTCAGCTAGAAAACACAGAGACAATGGTTAAATTTAGTTAGAAGTGAGGATTCTGCAAAGGTACAAAAGATAGTGTTGTGACAGTAGAATACTGTAATGAGTTAGAAATGAAATAAGTAAATAATCTATGAGATAAAACTGTATTGTTTTGTAATGGTATGTTTATTTATAATTAATGCAATAATAACGAAGAGAGGGAAACATTGCAATTGTTTCTAAAGATTGATAAAATATTGAAATGTGAAAGATGTATAAGGAAATTTATACCAGTTATTAGAATGAATTTGAATAATTATTTTGCTTATTAATAGTAAATAATTTATAAGATAAAACTGTATGACTATCCAATGGTATGCTTATTAACAGTTAAGTAATAATGAAGAAGGGAGGGAAACATTTCAATTGTTCTCAAAGATTGATAGATATTGAAAAGAAACGTGAAAGATTTACAAGGTTCATACCAGTACTAGAATGATTTTGAATAACTATTTTGTTTACTAATGTTTATATATGTGTGTGTGTGTGTGTGTGTTTTGTGGCTCCAATGCATGAGCCTGCGTTGTTAGAGGAAGAGGACTCGGAAGATGAGGAGGAGGAGGAATTGGGAATGCCTTCCTCCCCAGGACCTTCCTCTTCGGCAATGCCTTCCTCCCTGATTATGCCTCAGGTTTTGGCAGAGAGGGACAGCCTGAGGCTAATCAGGAGAGGGAGGGCATATCGGAGCAGCCTCTGACAGAGAATCAAGTAGATGAATGCTGGCTTGATCCGAGGCAGCGTCGCAGGAAAAAGTGTGAGCTGCAACGCAGGAGGCGTGGACGAATCAGAGACTGAGCTGAGCCATGGAGACACACCCCACAGGGGATAAAAGTGGGTGTGTTTCATCTGGGAACTCTGTACGGGACAAAGTGTGAATTTTCTGTTGAGCTTCGGTGTATCTTGTTTCTTGAAAGCTTTCGTGATTAATGTTT